TGCTGAGGAGACAYGAGCACAGCACACACAGGACCCCAGGGACTGAGCCCTGTGTGCACTGCTCTCATTTATAGCTGCTATCAGCATACCTTCAGCTGGGCTGGTGCTTTTACACTCATTCAGCTGGATGAACTRCGTATTCCTGACAAAACACAGCCCGTTTTGAACAGCTCGATCCACCAGGCAGAGGATATCCCACACTCACAGCAGCTCCGTTGTCCCACAGGGGTGGGGAGCAGGGATCAGCTTCATATACCCACTAAAATAGCGGCCAGKGCTGGTATGCAAGTGCCCTAGTTTAATGCCTAAACATGGTATCTTGCTAGCCAGGCTGGCAGGGCTGCCAGTTCATGCTCCAGCCCTGAAGGTGAACTGTGTGTCACTCAGCATGGCTCCGGCAGCAGGGAAGGTCAAACAGCCCCTCGCCTTCCACTGTGCTGCTGAACCTCCTGGGAAAGGAGCACTGGGCACTGGGGGAGAGAAGAACACATTAACACGAGCCTTACTAACAGTCCTTCTTGGCTATTAAACCAGGGACAACTGGGTCTAACCCCTACTGAACTCAAAGGGGTACTTTTGGGTGGAGGATCAGCTCTACAGGGACTCTGCCCCATTCACAGGAGGGCAAAACATCTCCAGAAATATTGTAGCTTTAACCTTAGTGGGTGCTGGCCGTGGCCACCCTGTGTTTGGGGCAGGGACATCATGAATCTTTTTCCACATCACTTCTGATCACTCCACTCAGCTTCAACCTTGTAGCAGGTTTGCATCTCATAACCGTTTAATAAAATTATCAACTGTGAAAGCATCTGGAAAGCTGTACCAACAAAAGYTACAAAGACAACAATGCTCAGCCAGAAGGACAGAGCCAGTGCAAGGATCCAAAAGGAAAAGATGGAAAAGAAGGAAATTATATTTGTAGGTGTACCAGCTGGAATAGTAACAGCCTTGCTTGGTCTCCTTGCAGCTTTGCTTGCTGCTTTTTACTGGCTGGGATTCAGGCAAGGGAATGGTGTGCCAGCCATCAGCACCTTCTGCATTTGCAATCCATGCACCTGTGCCAACYTTTCCACAGGCAGGCAGCAACCGAGCTGCACAGCAGGAAAATGAGCTCCCCCCCCCAGCATGGTCACATGCCCTAGGCTAAAAAATGTCCAAAACCAGAGAGGAACCGGCCAAAGTGGGTGATCTTCCTGTCCAGCTTTCTGGATTTTATGTTCTGAACTTTTATCCTTTGTTATCCACTGCGTGGCATTGACACAGAACGGTGCAGGTTCAAATTTCTGAGAGTATTTCCTATGGTCCCTTTCCAGAGCCAGGACAGCTGTGGTGGCAGGATGTATCCTGCACAACACACTGAGCAGCTMTGGCCAACCCCAAACACACACTGCAATAAAAGCAGGCCACCCTTCCAACAAAAACCCTTCYCCAAACTCATTGTTTTGTTAATTTTAACTGGATCATCTATGAGGCAAAATCCCCTCTAAAATCAAGTCTTAAAAAAAAACCAAAAAAACCCCAGACAGGTTTCCGAGATTCCCTCAGCAGGAATGCCATTGCAATGAAATGATTCCTCTTGTAACCTCAACAAATGTACGGAGGGTCAACCAAGTGACCAGCCTGAGCTCTGAAATGGATGCCCTGGGTTTCAGGGGCCACTTTGGAGCCAGCCCAGTGTCCCCAGTGGTCCAGCCACCTCCAAGTGCCACAGTGACCACCTTGCTGGCCATCCACTTCTCCCACAGGGCTGTGAAACACCAGTTTTTGCTGTTACACTGCCCAGCCTGTGTTTGTAAGAGTTGAGCCAGCAGGGATTTCATGGAGCTCCKTGGTGGGTGCTGAAATCTGATTTGGGGTGCCCTAGCTTTATCCACCCACAGGAAGCACTGGTGACACTGATGTGGTCTCAATTTGTGTCAAAAAGCATCTGCACCCCTTCCCCCATGCCCAGTGCTGTGCAAACCCTGGGAACCCTCCCTCTCAACACTCTGTCATGGTGTAATTCCATTATAATTCCTGACATTTGAGAGACTTCTAACAGTACGTGCTTTAAATTAGACAAGCAACATCTCGCTCGCCTGCTCTCAGATAAATAAAAAAGTCCAAARCTTCATTTTCTGACACTCTGTTCTTCGTTTTGATTTTCTTGTAACTGTAACTACCTGTTACAGGTTTTCTTGTAACCTGTAACTACCACCTTGTCACTCCTTCCTTGTGGGTATTATATAAAATGTGATATTTCATGTGTGGTGCACACATGTGCAGCCTGCAGGAAGGTGCCATGCTGAAACAAACATGCATTGGTGTTTTGTTTTTCACACCAGTTTTTGGTTTTTTAGAGGCAACAAATGYATTTTTAGATCAAACAACAGACAAGGACAAAGTGTGTTTTGTAAGCAGACGGACAGGCAACTTAAGTATAGAGTTGTTTGCAGAATCTGTGTGAATTTTATTTATGTTCCCTGGTCTTTGCTCTCCTCTGGGATCTTACATATTTTGCATTATTATCAAATATTTGTAATGATCCCCCATAAACAGTCTAATGTTAAAAGCTACTCCAAGTGTAACTTGACCCAGAGGAAAGATGCTTATCTGAGCTCCACAATGACAGATTAAAAAAAGATGCTGATGCAGTAGGTCTCTTGTAAAATGATGGAAATGTAAGAAAAATCAAAACTGCATAGATTTTTTTTACCATAAGATAAAGCAGGAGTTATCTCTGTTGGCTTTTGCAGTGAAATACCACTTGCAAGAGCTACAAACATCCAGCACTTCTGATCCCAAATGCACTAGCCAACCAAGGAAGGAAGGAGAGGAATAAATGCTCAGCCAGCCKGTACTGTCAGAATCTATTTCACTGTTTAGTAATTATTTTTTTATTACTATGACAACACAGACCATAAGAATTGCTTCTTTAACCCCAGAAAATGGTAAGTGCATATAAGACTTTTTTAAACTGAAGTAATCACTTTTTACTTCTGCCATGTAAGAAAGCGATGGCACTACCAGAGTGTCCTGCCCTGCTCTGYCTCCTGCCCTGCATGGATGGCTCTGCTGCAGTGTGGCACTCGGGTCATTTTTTTTATATCAGGAGCCATTTGAGAATGGCTCCACACTGGCTCAGCATTTTCTGTCTGAAAAAAAAAAAAAAAAA